TAATGACATTTGTTCTTGAGGTTATTGAGTTTGTTCTTTCAAAGCAATTTCTTGATTGTTTATAAGGGGTTCTAGAATATTGTCTTGATCAGAAATTGCTTCTTAAACAAGTTCTAGAGCAAGAATTTGTCTCTGGTCCAAATATTAGTCAATTACAACAGAAGGAATATTATATATTCATCCTCAAATACAAAATCCCTACCCTTTATCTCTCTCTGCAAACTCTACATCCTCAAAGAACTGGGCATTTTCCATTTCAAAGATTGACTTTGTAGTAGGAAAACAAAATTTGTAATCCCTTGACATCTCAGAGTATCCAATGAAATAATAATTGACAGTTCTGGAATCCAATTTCTTTTCATTAGGCCTATAAAGCCTTTTTCTCAACTGGACAACCCCAGATGTGTAAATGTTTAAAACTAGGCTTCTTGCATGTCCAAAGTTCATAGGGGGTTTAGACAGTTGCTTTACTTGGAACTCTATTGAGAATATAAGATGTAGTCTTTAATGCTTCCCCTCAGAGAGATTTTGACAAGGTAGAATGACTAATCATACTCCTTACCATATCATTAAATGTTCTGTTTTGTCTTTCAACAGCACCGTTCATGCTAAGAGAACTGGCATAGTGTACTACAGGGACGATTCCATGCTCCTCTAGAAAATTAGCAAAAGGCCCTTGATATTGTTCTCTTGATCCGTCATATCTGTCATAGTATTCACCATCACGGTCAGATCTAACTTTTCTGTTCTTTTGCCTAGTGTTTTTTAACTCCAACCTTATAAGCCTTGAGCATGTCTAGTGATTGAAATTTCTCATGGATGAGATATAGGTAGCTATTGCGAGAATAATCATCCATGAATGTAATAAATTACTGTTGACAATTCTAAGATGTCGAAAGGGAGTGGCCCACAGATATCTATATGAATTAGTTCTAAGACGTCCGAAGTTCTATTGACACCTAATCTTTATATTTGTTGTTTCACCTTAATACAATTTACGCAAACACCTGAGTCTGAAAAATCAAGGGGATCAAGAATTCTTTCTTATACAATCTATTCTCTTTTGAGAAATGTGATCTAAATGCTTGTGTCATAAAGAAACAGAATTCTCACTGGTTAATTTACGTTTAATATTCATGAATTCATTATAAGAAACAATTGAATTAAGCAAGTATAGATTATCATATCTAGATAAAAAAAAAACTGGTATCCACAATATTTGAATCAAGAGAAAGACTATATTATTATTTTCAAATGAATAAAAATAACCGAATTTGTCCAATACAGAAATAGAAACCAAATTCTGTCTAAAAGACGGTACCATAAAAGTATCTTTAAAACCCAAATAAAAACCAGTCTTTAATAATAGTCTAGAAGTCCATATAGCATCAACTTCAATTGATTTGTCGTTGCCCACATAGATGAATCTTTTAGTATCATTTGGCTTTCAGTTATTCAGATAACCTAGCATAGATACACTTATATGAGTAGTGGCACCGAAATCAATCCACCAAGTATGTCTAGGTCCTGAAGCTAAATTAACCTCAGAACAAACCAAATTGAGAAACGTACCTTTCTTTACACGCCAAGCGTAGTATTTGGTGTAATCCCTTTTCAAGTGTCCCGAGATTCCACAAAAGCAACAAATAGGTGATTCATCCTTTTCAAACTTTTGCTATTTCTTTTGAGGTAGCTTCTTTATTATTTCTTTTCTTGAACTTGTCGTTAGAGTTACTAGCCAAGTCAGTACATTCAGTCCTATCTTGCTTCAACCTTTCTTCTTCTTGCATACAGCACGGAATGATTGTATTGTACAGGAAGAGAAATTAAAACCAAATATACGAGCAAATCATTAGATAGCTCAAGTTTTAGTGCCTTCAGTTTTGAAGCAATATGAGACATCTCCATGATGTACTCCGAATATTTAGTGACTAATTTAGCCATAAGCGTACTAGTTTCGGCCTTATCAATTTTTGCAAAGTGTTTTTTAATTTCATCAAGAAATTCCTTTGCAGTAGTTATCTCATCGGACACTACACCCTTGAATGATTCTAGAATATCATGCTTCATGATCATAAGACTCATACGATTTGAATGATCCCACTTATCAAAGTCCATTTTTCATCAACCGAATTTTTATCTGTAAGTGCAGCAGGTCGTTCAATACTTAACGTAAGGTCTAAGTCCATACAGCCAAGAACGATATGAAAGTTCTCTTTCCAGTCCTTAAAGTTAGTTCCATAAAGTTAGTTCCATTTAAAACGGGAATAGAATTGATATTGGCAGATATCGTAAGCAAAAGAGTTAACTGAATAGAGAATAACATGTTCACATTAAAATCCATATTAATCAATTAATAAATTCAATTAATGGTAAACCCCATCACAAGAGATCGAGCACAATATTGATAGTTAGCCTTTGGACAGAAATATTAACTTGTAAATGGTACTCTTGGTGTAGCAATCAAATATTGACAATAAACCATATCAAACAATAAGCCCCCGTTTGGCCCTCATTCTTTCCAAATTTTAATGGTTAAAATAGTATTTTTTTTGAAAAAATGTGTGGTTGAGAAAGAATGAAAAGTTTTATTTGCGTTTAATATTATTTTATGAAAAATTGTGTCGTTAAAAATAAGAGAGAAAAAGAATGAGAAGGAGAATGGGAGTCAAACGGAACTAAATCTATCTATCTTTGGACAAGAGATGTTACTTGCGTTTAACATCCGCATGAATTACAAACATACAACATTCCTAATATTCCAAATAAATTAATCTAGACAAGAGATGTTACTTTAGTAGCATGCTACTTCAATTAATTTAGTTTGAAAAATTAGTTATTCTAAAAGAAACTTTAATACCATAATTTGAATTTGAATTGCTAAAACTTTAACATTTTATTTCGTTTTTATTTTTTTAAAACTTATAACAAATATATATATACAATATTACAGCGCCCATAATTTTGGGCATTGTGTGCGCCCAGTAGAAACATGCTTGGGCCCTATGAACACAACGCTCAGGTGCAGCCTTTTTTCGAATAGCGACGCTGCAACATCACATTTGGCTGTCGCAGCGCTGCGGTGCTTCTTAAATGCGGAAACATTAATTTGATTCTTAATTGTAGATTGTCTATTCTTGATTGTGGATTTTAAATTTTCCTCTTCAATATGTTTTTTCTGTAATTCTTGTGTTGATGCCACAAAAATTGAGAAATTGCATAAGAATTGAGTATCATAACCTTATATATAGTTTCCATATGTATTTCGCCAATCATTAAATAAAATTCTGAAAGAATCCGGTCTCTACACATATAATCCTACCCAAACTTTATTTAGATGCCCTAAGCCCAATTACTTAATTTTTTATTAAATTACTTTAATTTTAGGCTTAACTTTAAAATAGCATTTATACACAATTAATTACATATGTCAGCCCACATGATAAATTTATATTTTTCCAACTATCAATGAGTAGAAGAGTGCAAGTTTCTCTTTTATAGTTGTTTTCCTGTTTAATAATCACGTGGAGGTCTAAGTCAAACCTTTTGATGTAAATGACTTTTTCGAGGGATTATTTGATATTGGTAAGAATTGATAAACGTTGATGGTTCCTATGAAATATATGATAAAAAAAAATAGATAAAATTGTGGGTTCAATGCAATATGTGGTAAAAATAAAGTTTGATCTACATTTTAGAAAATAACTTTACCCGAAAATCACAATTAAAACTACAACACCGCCATTTAAGAAATTACTTGGCACAAAGTTCATCATTGTCCTTGTGAGAATGGTAGGAATTGTTACAAGACTATTGTGAACTTTATGTACAATTTATATACTATTTGTACAAAATATTTTGCTCAAGACATTACAAAAATATGGAGACTAAAAATTGGGTTGGAAGAGATGGAAAAAAAAACTCGAAGCTCACGAACCCTGCCACGAACAGGACGAAGATTACCTACCTAATCAAATAAACGGGACGGGACGAGGGCTATTGCCCCGAAATAAGTATGAGGTGAGTACGGAAAACATGGTCTTCACCTTATTAGGCACCCGGTTTTAAATTAATTTCAAATTTAAGTTTTTTTCTCAAATAATGGGTTCTTCTTAACATATTGAAAAAAAAAATAGTAATTTTCATCAATTAAAGACTAAAAATAAATAAATGAGGCCGTAAATGGACAGGAGGCCCACCCCGAACCCATCCTCATTTCGCCTTAATCATATGAGGTGGCGTAAGATGAAAAAAAAATAAGATGGAGCAGGGGACGAGATTGATCGATTCCCTCCATTGCCATCCCTAATTCGAAATTTGAGTGGTACCCATAATTTGTGTTAATGTTGACCGTCACAAAGTTGTTTAGACTGTTTCTCTGTTCATGTGCATGTCATAAAATTGTCATTTTTTTATTTTTTTTTACTAGGCGACTTCTATTTTTTCTATGAAATTGATGATTTTATGATAATATTTTCCTCATCTATTTCAGAATAATAATTTGCGAATTTAAATTTTATAATGAAACTTCGTATTAATTTATTGATTTAAGCTAGTATTGAATCAAATATATAAATATTTTAATGTTTATGCTAGTCTCAGACATATTATTATTTTAATTTTTATATTTAGAAGGTTTGAATTTAAGTGTTATATTGAGATTTCTTATCAACATATTTATTTTTTAACTTGTTTGAAAAAAGTTATTTTATATCGCTAAAGCTGTTATTTGGAACCACAGCAAACAAAGTTTAAACTTGTAAACTAAGTTTAGTAACCAACATGAAATTTCTCTAAAAGTTCAATGAGTACACATTTTTAACCCAACGAGTCTCATTCTCCTACGTCGGTCTCCGGGAAACTTATGATTAAGGACGGTTTCCGAATGAGAGTATGTAGCCTTTTTCCTAGGAATATTACTGCCATTACACAAAACTAAGAAAATGAACACTGCATTACAACAAACAATGAAGACTGTATATCAATCTGCAATACAAAACTGAAATCTAAACAACTAATCATCTAAATATATTGCAGAAAATATTAATAAACAATGCATACTGTACATTTCTCACTTAGAAGATTGCAAAGGGATCATGAACAGATCAAACCTAGTCTAAAAAACATTCTTAGATTTGAAACTGTGCACTTATGCAATTACTTAGCTAACTACGTCAGTTTTGATTCTACAGACACTCTTTCTAAACTATATATTCAAGAAAAACTCAGTTCTAATCAAATGAAATACGAATCAAAATTCTTTTTTCTTTTCCTTCTTCGCAGTCAAAGGATTACGTTTGGAGAAAATTTTGCTAAATATTCCTGGTGCTTTAGAAGGTGGATTTTGAACTTTGCATTCCATACCAACATCTGAACCTGAGTATTCTCCATCAGTATTGAATTCTTCTTTCAAGATTCGCAGTAATTCCGTTGCCATGGCCTTTGCTTTCTTGTTTCCATTAGCACGTACATTAACAAGGCCAGGAATAACACCCTCGGCCATGACCAGCTGACAATATTGTACACGTTCAGAGCACAGAGAAAGAAGAATTTCAACCGCACGCTCCTGGTCCTCATGACTCTCATTCTCGAGTAGTTTGGAAATTGAAGAAATGCAACCATCAGTTTCAGCAACAGAAACTCTAGCATCTTCTTCATCACACAAATATTTCAAAATGGTAACACAGTATCTTGCTAGGGTGTTATTTTCAAAGAGTGGAACTAATTTGGGGACGAATGCTGGAGGCACAAGGAAGGACCCGATGTCACTATTTGCCAACAAATTGCTCAGTATATGTAAAGCTGGTTCCAACAGTTCTTCAATCTGGGTGTCAACTATATTCAGGATACCGATGAGTGCCCCAGACGCTGCAATCTTGTATCCAGAATGTTGGTCCAAGGACAAAACCTCCAATATGGCAAGAGCTTGTTGACCCACCTCCGTATCAAGATATGATCCCAAAAGACTACATGCATCTTCATCAATGCAAGATATATTTTTTCTGAAACGTAATCCAAAGTAGATTATTGGTGAAAAATTGTTCTGAAAAAGCAACTGAAACTATTTGGCATTTGTATCTTCATTTCGCATCCTTTGCATTTGAAAGTATTTGTCAGCTTATGCAATGAAAAATCCAGTTTTGGTAACTAGAAACAGAAATGACTTCATTCTTTTAGAAACTCGAAGACGAAATACTGTGTAAGTAGCTTAATCAACATAGCTTAGAACTTCAACCCTATATAATATTTCCTGTTCCCACAAATCCATAACTAGAACTAGCAACAACAAAATAAGCCTTATTCCCAATATTTGGGGTTGGCTACGTAAATCATTTTTTGCCATTCCATTGTTTTCATTGTTAGATGGAGATCTTAAGCAACTACTAGAGGTCAAGTTAAGTATACTCCACTCTCTTTTTAACATGCTCTACTGTAATCATGTAAATGTTATGAAGTCCACTTTAAGTCGATGCAAAACACGAGCCAACCAACTAAACACTTAATTAATCTCCCATCCGCACCACCTTCCCATGACTAGAACTAGCATTATTGCATTAAGAAGTGTATATGTTAAAACATCCATCTCAAACCATTCAACAACCAATATAGAGGCTCTCTAGTAGCATACACTAGTTTGTGAGGTGATAGTCAATAGGAGACTAACCCTAGCACTTCATTTTGAAACCTTCACTTGCATATGGAGAGCATATTTATGTCAAAGTAATTTGAAATCTTCAAAAGCATTCAAAGACATTGGGGACCATCACATTAAAGACCACAACATTGCTTGGACAGAAGTCTACACATTAGAAGGAGAGGTCTTGACATGCGAATCTAAAGGGCTGTAAATGGAAACATCATTCTTAAATTTGGAATCAGAGCCACGGAAACAATCTAAAAATATTAGAGCAGCAGCCAACAGTAACAGAAAGAAGAAGTGCATTTCATGTCATTTTGTCTAGTATGATTAACACTTGCAGCATTTAAGAAACAATAGAGAATTGCAGAATTTAATATTCAGCAAGTGGTGTTGCATCCAAAACTAATTTCTATCCAAATTTAAATTGAACAAAAAGAAACTGATTATTTTATCAGTTTGCCTACTGAAATTTCATTTGTCAATATGTACTAGTAGAAGTACAGATATAATCGCGACTAATTCAACAACCTTATTATCCACTTATTCTCCAAGACAAGTTCCAATATTTCAAGGTGAGCACTATGAGTACTGGAGCAGCCAAATTCAATCTTTCTTCATCTCTTTGGATCTTTGGGTTATCACTGAAGATGAGGAGTTTGAAGTTCCAACCGAAGACGACAAAGAGGCTCAAATTTGCAAAAAGAATATAAAAACAGAGACGTTATTGTGTTACGAATTACGATATATTCACAAGGAGTCAGAAAATCCATTTTTCCTCATATCTTTGGCTTAAAAAGGCCAATGATGCATGGGAATTTTAAAGCAAGAAATGATTCAAAGAAAACAATAGCTTTGAAGCTTCCATTGTGATTGAAAGATCTTGACAATTAAAAAAGAAAGAACAGGAGTCAGGTTGGCGATTTCTCTTCTCAAGTCAAAAGTCGAAGAGATACAATCCAAGACAAAAGGGTCGTAGAAAAAGTGATTAGAAGTCTTCCTCCAAAATTTGATCATGCAGCCGCCGCAATTGAAGAATCCAGAGAGTTGTTGAAAATGACAATCTACGAGTTGACCAGGTCTCTTCTATGGTAGGTATATTTATAGGGAAGATTATGGTAAGTGGTTGTAACTTCCTGTTTTGTTATTTGTAGTTCATATTTAGAATGTCCACTTTTTAATTCGAAGAGACAGAATATCTATACAAAAATTCTATATTCAACTCCATTTTTATGTCTCAATTACTTATACTTTATAATTCCAAGACCATGGCATGCAAAAGAAAACTGCAGAATGGCAGTAATATGGGAAAACATGAATAATTTGATGAAATCACTATAAATAAGACTTGCCCATTATCTACCAAACCTAGCTTAGATAATTGTAACAACATTCATCTAGAAACAGATGAGTGACTTATGGACAGACTGCTCAGGTCTATAACTGTGTTGGGGCAATATTTGGAAATGAAAGTGGAGCAGTGCATCATCAGCTTATGGAGCCTCATTCTCTTGGAGCACATGTTAGGGGAAGTTTCATGCAAAACATGTTTCACTTCAATTAAATATTGCCTCCCAGCCTAATATAAGCTCGAACGACTTCTTTGCTTGTTCCCTCATTCATATAGTGGTTCTCTAGGTAATTCGACTCTTACCACTGCTTTCAAAAATGGTAGAAAAAATGTCTTTCCCCAATTAAAAAATTTGATTCGTGCGTATAAATGTGATGGGTTTTCAGAATCTAAGATATGAGAACATGACTTATAAACAATAGATCCGTTATCCAGTAAGCATTCCATGCAATGTAGTGATATCATCACTGGTGGCCTTCCACTGGGCTGATCCAATTTTAAAAGCAAATATTGAAGGGGCAGCTTAAGACTGTAGAATTTTATAGCAATTGCTGCTTTCGCACTTTTATATCTCACTACATGCTCTGGTATTCTAGCCAGAAGAACTAAGTACAGGCAGCTTGAAATTGCAATTAAATTTAATAAGAAATAGACGATACCTAAGTTACCACAAAGAATATTACCATTAATGAAAGATAGTTGTATAATCACCTTGAAGAAGAACAAATACCTGCATTTCTGAACAAATTCTAATAACAGTTGACATCCAGTCATCTGAGCTTCCACATCACGAATGTCATGTGCATCCTTCATAAATCTAAGAAGAGGTTGAAAGAAGTTCCCAAAGGACATCATTGTGCAAGCTTCATCATTGCCTATCAAAAAGCGCTTTACATCTTCAACCATGGTGCACTGAGAATCCCAGGGAAGTGAACTGATTTTAGCAAAAAACTCCATATTCATTTCCTGTGTGCTTGCAGAGGCTTGAAATCTCTGCGAATCATTATCCTTTTTCATGGGCAAAAGGTTTACAGCACTAGTGATCTCAGAATGCAAGACATCTGATGAAACATGGAAATCTAGTGGAAGGTATAGATCATTCAGAGAACAGCTCAAGCTGGCGATGGAATTGGTAGAAGTTACAAAAGACTTAACAAGTTCAGCTTGCATGGCGGGGTTGGGAATAGACACACCATGTGCTGTACACCATTTAGAAATTATGTCTTTTATTCCAGTATTTGAGGTCAATGTTAAGTGACCCAGCTTCACTTTTGTATTTGGACATGTATCCTGGCCTTCATCAAACCATCTTTGGATCCACACCCTTTCAAATGTTTGCCCAGAAGCAATGACAACAGGATCATACATCAATCTCATAGATAAAGGGCAAATGAATTCTTTAGGGGGTATGGGGCTACTTAACATGTCAATTTGAGACTCATCAGGCATATACTTCGTGCGTTCCACTTCTGTTGACAGATCATAAGAACTTGCAGATGGGACGGTATCTTCATGGCGTACGACACTGTTGTCAGTTTTCTCTTTCATAATAATATTTCCATATTTATTAAGAAGATTCAAAAAGAATAATAGTATTTTCCTCTTGCATGAATCACTTTTGCCAAATTTGTCTAGCAGCTTTTTGATTGATCTTTTCTCTATCAAGAGTGCTTTCTGGGACGTAATGTGAAGCTTCAAGGAAACCACTCGAACAGAGCCAAGGGTATCTTCCTCTTTTGTATCAGTTTTAGAACCATATCCATGAAGCAATTCCCACAAAACCTTCCCAGCCTCCTCTTCAGATGGATCCAAGTAAAAAGTTGAGCTCCTGAGATCAAAAATGATCCCAGAAATCTGCTAGTAATAGTCAATCAACTGTATCACAATACTAACTTTGTTGGTTGTCCAAGAAAATTCTAGAATACAAGAAAAAAGAGTGGGAGGGGAAGGAGGAGGACGAGGAAGACCAACTACTGAATCAAAGTAAAATATCAATAGATCTGAAATTTAGTGCGTACAGTGGCAGATTATGGGATAAAGGGAAAGGGAAGCCAGGGGCCCACCTGGGGGGGGGGGGGGGGGGGGGGAGTGCGATATATGGACCCTATTCTTAAATGAATAGTTTAAACATAGTTTTTTGTTCAACTACATCGACAACTAGATATCTATAATTATATATTGACTGTAAAGGTTGCATAGGTGCCTGATGAAGTCTGCCTTCTGCAGCCAGAAATTGAGCTACTTTCTTTAGCATTGTGGCCATACTAAGGCCCCGTTTGGTAGGGATTTTTTGCCCCAAAAAATTGATTTTTTGACCGTTATTTTACTATTCAAGCCGTAATTTTTGACTTCTTCTCTCACATGTGGACCCCACTTTTCTTCTAACGGTCAAAAAATCAATTCTCAAAATCCCTACCAAACGAGGCCTAAGTAATTTGGGCAGACAAAACTGCAAATATGAGCCTACAGCACTAACGAAGAAAACACATGCGATTACATGAACTTCTCACTGAAAAAATCAAAACACACATCAAACAAAATGGACCAAAGTTGGAATGTGGAAAGAATGGACTTTTGCTTTTTGAGTTATTCATAAGTTCCAAAAAGAAAGTGAAAAAAACTGATGAATGGAGCAAGAACAAATGCCAAAAAAATTTAAATTAATGGAGTGTTATTCAACTCTCTGAAGCAGATAAGAAATATGCAACTAGAAAAAATGAAAGACAGTGGTGCACGCAAGCTTTTGTGTGTGTGAGAGAGAGAGAGAGAGAGAGAGATACATTGGGTGACCAACTTTTCAAAACTTTGAGGCCATGGTTTTTATATGTAATCTAGAATTTGTAGAACTCTTCAATAGCACAATGGAGTTCTCAAAAAATCTTGGAGGGGAGGACAAGTTTATGTATGTATGCTGGAATAGTTATGTTCTCAACAGCAAAATGGAGTGGAAGATCTTGGAGGCCATCTTCCACCCCTAGCTTCAGCCCACCCCACAATCATCCATAACCTGAAAGTACTAGGTTTTTATGGTACTCTTCAGAACAACATAAATAAGTAGCCTGATGAGGAAAAGAGGCTCTAAAGTGTCTTTCAGCATTCCTGCTGAGATCCTAGAAGACACCCTTCTTTCTAAAATTTCTTTTAGTAGGGAAGAGAGGATGAAAAAAAGATGGACCTTGAGTTTGTTGAGCCGAGAGAAGAAGGCAATTGAAAAGGAAATAACGAATATGCCAAACATAATTCACATATTAGAAAATCTTAATATCTAGATCAAGTGGGAAATCCAGGTAAAGAAATAAGAACGTGAGACACAAGTTTGGCAAGATTTTCAAGAAAATTGAGACCATTCTTTTATGCTTCTCAACCAGGAAAATTCAAACACTCTATGGGAATATCATGCATTTTCTTTTTATTTTCAACTCTTAGAGGTGACTAATTCCTTACTAGCAACTACTTCCTTCCCCAGGAGACAGAAGCTCAAGCTTTGAGAAGGTATTTTTTATCCAATACAATTTCAAGTTACCTTCAAGTATGCTTCCTGTATAATAACTAAGTGGCATACTTTTCTTTGATAAAGCCCAGTTCTATATGCAACAGAAAACTTCTAAGATATGGAAGAGAGCTTCCACTCCGCAGTTTAAGACAGCACCGCATGAAGGACTAAATAGGTTGTAAGTATTAAAAACACAACATTCAATTTTTTTAAAAGGATCTTGATTGCTCACCTCTGAAGCCAGTGTTATTGGAACCATCTTTTGAATTTGACTAAGACTTTGTTCCATTAAGTAGGTAGACTTTTTACATCTTGACAGTATAGCGTCTCCAGTTAGTGCCTGAAAATGTTTAGAATGAATTTACGGCAACATCATTACAGAAAGGATGAACAAACTGCCTCGAACAAATGAGAAAGAAGCATTAGCGCGTGCCTATTTTCCAGTTAAATATTGTAACAGATGCACTTCAGAATAGATATTGTTCTTTGCTCAAGGAACTTTCGTAACTACCTTATAGCTGTTACCTTCTTCCTTTTGCTTCCCTAATCTGGTAACAGACTAATTTTTTTTATAACAACATTTGATCTTATCAGAGAATGGTTATTTCGAGAGACAAAATTTTACAAATAAAAAATAAGAATAATAAAATAAAATAAAATTCTAAACGGGTATAGTATAGAAAGGAAAGAAGTGGTGACATAAATAAAGGCCCAAAGTAACTGCTAACAAAGAAAGTAAAATGAAATTAATTTTTGCTTACAATTAGAGAAACAGAAGCTTTTGATGAACCCATCAAGTATAAGCTCATGTGCACTTAACAAAACTCGGTATATAATGCTTTAGTGCAATTTTGAAAAAAAATATATATAATATATATATATATATATATATATATAAGAATCTCCCTATTAACTCCGGTTGTATCTGGTAAATACTGTAAGGTACTTAAAATTCATACATGTAAGTTACACATACGTACCAAATAGAGCTTACTGGACTCCCTGCAGTACTGAAGTAGAGTATTGGCTTTGAAAATTCCATTAGTTAACAAGCAAAGTGAATCTATGCCTGACGAGCACCGAGGACGGGCAGCTTCTATTTCTGGAAATATTTTTGAAATTCTAGTGACCAATTTTAGTAGTTCTGAACACATTTGACAGTGGACCTGTCATAACATAAATGTCAATTACAAAAAAAAAGGTTCCCTAAGCGTTTGAAAGATACGAAATTATGAAACAAAAAGCAGAGGCAAACCAGAGTAAATTTGCCTGTGAACCTGAATAGAAAATACAAGAATGATTGTGACTTGGATACAGAAGATAGAAGAAGAACAGCTTATTCTTGCTTCAGGTTGTCACAGGATGAAATACTAGGACACACACACCCCTCATGGAACATTCACGGACTTAAATTTGAAAATTTTAATGTACATAAATATATAGGGGGTGTTTGATAGACATTTTTATGTAAAAATGCATTTTAGAACAGTAAATTGATGTGAAATATGTGGTTGAGAAATAAGAAAGAGTTTTTGATTTACGTGAAATATTATTTTAATAAAGAATGTGTGGTTGAAAAGAAGAGAGAGAAAAATGCAGTTTGAAAATAATGGCTACCAAACGGGGCCATAGTATTAAAATACCATATTAAGCTCCCATTTGGCCCCCATTAAATCTTATCAAATTAAATTAAAAATTTTTTTCTCCTGTTTTCAATCACTCAATTTTCAATAAATAATATTACACGTAAATCGAAAAATTTTCATCCTTCTACAACCATACATTTTTCAAAAAAATACTATTCTCCCATTATAATAAAAAATAATGGAGGTCAAATGGGGTATAAAATATTATAATGAATTCCTTCCAGACATCCAGTTAAAATTTAGGACATTTTCATTATCAGAATATAACTTCCAATGTGAAGAGAACAATAGGAAGTGGCTGGAAATTAAAATTTCACTTGATTTGAGAGAGCACTTCTTCACCACATAAGTCCTCTAAAATATTGGACATTTTATGTAATATTCCGAATTTTTATTACTAGTCGTTTGATTAAAAATTAGGACTTAAGTGCACTACTATTAAAGTTTAATAGTTTTATTAGTTATTGACCTAGTTAAATGACCTTATTAATTACTAGCTAATAGTTTGAGGACCTAAATGAAGAGTTAATTTGGAAGTTAAATGAAATTATATGTAAAATATATGTAAATATGTCAATTAGCCATGATTAAAGATCATTTATTTGGCCACATGTATTATTCACCACATTTAAGCAAAGTAATTGCTTTGACCACATAAATAAAGGTAATTGATTTGACCACATGCATTATTTACACCAAGATTCAAGCCAAGTAAATTGATTTGATCACATGATTAAAGGTACTGATTTGACAACTTTCAAGTCAATACACCAATTATGCTTTGATCATGCCTAACATGTAGCCATTTCCTTTCAATTTTCTACACAAGGTCCAAGAACTTGCAATATAAATATGAGTTAAACTTACTATTGGATGATACCTCACCAACTATTTACACTGTCCCTCTCTATCTCTATCATTTTGTTTCTACACATTTACTCTTTCTCTTGTCCTTTCCATATTAAATATAATCATACACTTATACAATCACACAACCTAACACACAGCTCAAGTATAAGTTCCTATGTATAAGTTCAAATGACCTAAGTTTAGTAGTGCTACGCACGGAAATTATAGCCACGAAGTTTGGATTTTAATTCCCGTATCTCCATATGTATGTCACAATTTTCAGCAATTAAATGAGATGCAAAATTCATTATCACTCATTTATTGAGATTTATGTCTCACATGTATATGTTACATATTTTATAGGTAACTAAAAGAGGGGGGTTCAAGGCGATTGGAGCTGAATTGTGCTTGCGTGGTTGAAAATGAGGAATGATTTAAGTAGTTAAAGATTTCAATGATGTTTATTGTATTTTTTTTAAAATTTATTTTAATCCTTTCATGTTCAGAAAATATTATGCTTTTCATTGTTTATGAAAGTATTATTTTACGGTACATGTATAATGATTCCAAAGGTAAAATTTGGGTTGTTACATTTTAGGTGCCGCTGATCTCAATCATTTCAAGATAAAAGAAAAATGATAAATGTGTGAAAACAATATGTACATTTATAATTTAATTTGATTGTATACTTCATTAAATTAGTTTTAGTCCTACTCAAGGTCGAAGGATGTTCTTACAGTCTCTTGATATGGCATTCTTAGAAGCCACACTGTCTTAATGTCAACTCAAGGTTGTTAAGCAAGATAGGGGAAGACTACATGCGCAGCCTAGATTCATGATGCCCATTCACGAACTTAATTCCACTATGCACAAATGATCTCTCTCTCTCGCGCGCACACACGTGTCAGTATATAAGGATAAACTCCATGTCTTTCAAACAGATCCAGTTAGAATTCTAACCCAATCATTTCAATGATACCATTACTAAAGTTTTCTGTAATTTCTCTGCATGTGTTTTTGTGTGTGTGGGTGTGTGTACATACATGAATTATATTTTACCTTTGTATGCTTTTCTATTGTTTCTCAGTATATAGGAAAAATAATGACAATTATACATTAACCCATCAGTGTAACTAAACAGGATTGAAACAAGAAGTGTTTTGATAAGAGATTGTATCTTGGTACTAGACACTTCGTTTCACTATATGCGAACTTCAGTTGCAGACCACTTGATATGGGTAAGAAAGAAAAACTTGTTTGAGCACCCCAAATGAAATTGTTAATAGATTGAATTTAGTTCGTATCCTCTAACTTGGCAGAAAGACAAGGTTTATGTCCTCAATCAATTAGATTTTATTTTTTATTTTTATTTTTTTGAATTGGAGTTGACAGGGGGTCAAGTTAATTCAACCTCAGAAGTTTCTCATCAAAAGATAAAGATCCATGTTTCTGATGTTTGATCGGGAGAGAACTTTTAGAGTGCTGGCCAATTACAATTGAGAATCTCTAAGATACGATCTCAAGTTTTAAGCAGTCTCTTCAATCCATTTCTGGAGCACGTTAGCAAGTAATTTCCTTGTCAAAGGCTAAGTCGTGAGTGAAATTGTAAATGCCTAAAACTGTAACATAAGACAAAAGTTTCCACGGGAAAAGGAGACGAGCAGATGATATCATACCTTAATGGAAAGAGGAGATGGCAGCGATTCCAAATCTTCGGCAACATCATTTCCCATCAAGAAAAAACAGTCCCAGCATGGAAGACTACAATGCGAAAACATAAAGCATAATATGACTAATTTGTTCATTAGACAATGGTTTATAGACAACCCAACTGCAAGGGACAACTTGGATCTAAACTGGAAACAGTTTTTGTACTAATCAAAAGATAAATTTCAGGAGACAAATGAATGCCAACTCCAGTTTGCATCTCATTATAGGAAAAAAAAGTTTTATACAGAAGGTGGAAAACCATTTCTAAATCAATTTTTTAACACTTAGTTTTGTGAATTGTCCATCCAATAATATAGTCAAGTGTCCCATGACACCATGGTTCCACAACAAACCAGATTGATTATCAAGTTCGTACAATTACGATATGTAGTTGACAAGAAGAGAACAGGTATCCAACTCTAAATTGTGAAGATAATGATCTATCCACAAGATTAACATATTCATAGCACAAGTTATATGAATCATTACACTTCCACAATGTGCCCTGGTTCTAATCTTTATACACAAAGCCGAAGGCAAGAAGTAAATGCGCTGATTATCGTAACTCTACAGTACTGCATATCATACTTTGAGTACTTATTCTCAGAGTGAAATTAGATTGAGGATGTTTTGCCAAGATTAAAAATAAGTAAATGTTAAGCTTCCTTGTTGCAAAATATATTTTAACAGGTTACTTCTCATGTTAACAAGACTTACTTTTCCAGAAAGTATAATTAAACACTAAACTTAGCCAAAAATGCCCTGAATGGAGAGCTTAAAAAAAAAAGATGCAGGATATCTTCAGTTTTTACAAATAAAGTTATTGTCGAATCAGATGGAAAATGAGATATAACTGAAAAGATACAAGCTCTGGCATTCATTTAAGAACTGGACCTTGGCATTCATTTGACAAAGAGATATTTACATTTATAAATGTTAACTCAAGTCAATGAATTACAGCTATTTATATCCAGCTACAAAAATTCAGTTTCTCCTTCTTGTGTGTGTGTGTGTGTGTTATTTTTTTTTTTTTTTTTTTTTTTTTTTTTTCCCCCCCC